ACGCCCTTGGGATTGCCGGTGGTGCCGGAAGTGTAGAGCAGGCAGAGCGCCGCCCACTCGTCCTCGGGCAGCCGCCAGGGGAAGTCCGGGTCCCCCTCGGCCAGCAGCCCCTCGTAGTCCAGTTCACCCAGCCTGGCGCCGCGGGTGCCGCCTTGGGCCTCGGTCAGCGGATCGTCGATGTCGATCACCAGCGGCCGACGGGAGAGCTGCTTGAGCGCGCGCTCGATGACCGGCGCGAACTCGCGGTCGGTAATCAGCGCCTTGGCCTCGCCGTGCTCCAGGATGAAAGCGAGGGTGGCCGCGTCGAGGCGGATGTTCAGCGGGTTGAGCACGCAGCCGGCCAGCGGCACGCCGAAGTGCGCCTCCAGCATCGCCGGCACGTTGGGCGCCATGATCGCCACGGTGTCGCCCCGCCCCAGCCCCCGCTGGATGAGCGCCGAGGCCAGGCGGCGGGCCCGCGCGGCCGTCTCGGCATAGCTGTAGACCCGCTCGTGGATCACCGCCGGCCGGTCGGGATAGACGGCCGCGGCCCGCTTGAGAAAGCTGATCGGGGACAGCGCCGCCCAGTTGGCGGCAGTGGGCGCGAGATCGCGCTCGTAGATCGACGGCTGGCCCTGTGCGGCCATCGGCACCTCCCGCATCGCCGTTATCCGGCTGTGTCGTTTCGTCTTCGCCTCGGCCGCGAGCATAGAGGCCCGGGCCGCGGCTCACCAGCCTCTCGCATCCGGAGCCTCTCGCATCCGGCCGGGCGTCGCCTTGCGGCTCGGGCCCGGCGGCCCCACACTTGCAACCATGGAACTCGACATCTTCTCCGACGTGGTCTGCCCCTGGTGCTTCATCGGCAAGCGCCGGCTGGAGGCCGCGCTGGCCGAGCGGCCGCAGCCGGGGCTGGTGACCCGCTGGCGCGCCTTCCAGCTCAACCCCGGCATGCCCTCCGAGGGCATGGACCGGCAGGCCTACCTGGAGCTGAAGTTCGGCGGCGCCGACAAGGCGGCGCAGCTCTACCGGCAGATCGCCGAGGTCGGCGAAGAGGTCGGCATTGCCTTCGCCTTCGAGAAGATCCGGCGCACGCCGAACACGGTGAACGCCCACCGCCTGATCCGCATGGGCGCCGCCGTCGACCGCGAGGACGCCGTGGTCGAGGCGCTGTTCGGCGCCTACTTCCTGCACGGCCGCGACCTCAGCGAGACCGGAGTGCTGGTCGAGATCGCCGACGAGGCCGGGCTGGACCGGCTGGAGGCGGCGGAGTTCCTGACCGGCGATGCCGAGCGCGAGGCGGTCGAGAGCGAGGACCTGAACGGCCGTCAGGCCGGCATCACCGGCGTGCCCACCTTCATCGTCAACCGCCGCCACGCGGTCCCCGGCGCCCAACCGCCGGAGGTGCTGCACAAGCTCTTCGACCTGGGCCGCGAGGGCGCGCCCGCCGCCAACCAGGCCTGACGGGCCAGCGCGCGGCGGCTCAACCGCGCGGCGGGATCGAATAGGTCGCGGTGACGTGGGCGACCGGCGCGTCGGGGTCCGCGCCCTCGGCATGGATAGAGACCTCTCCGTAGGCCAGGCGCTTGCCCACCTTGAGCAGGCGGCAGTCGCCGACCAGCGCGCCCGGCTGCGGCTTGCGCAGGAAGTTGATCGAGAGGTTGGTGGTCACCGCCAGCTCGACCCGGCCGACCGCCGCCATCACCGCGATCCACAGCGCGTAGTCGGCCAGGGCCATCATCGCCGGGCCGCTGATCGTGCCGCCGGGGCGCAGCAGGTCGGCGTGGTCGGGCAGCCGCGCGGTGCAGCGCCCCCAGCCCAGCCGCGTGATCTCCATCCCCAGCTTCTCGGCCAGGGGGAGCTGCGGGCGCAGCTCGCTCTCGATCAGGGTCCGGTCGATCAGCGGCGGGCGTTCGGTGGTCATGGCGGCGCAGCCTCCCAAAAGCTGTTTTTCCCGTCATAGCGCTTGCGGCGCCCCGGGCGGAAGGCCCAGACTCTCCGAAACGCCGCAAGACAGATCCTGGCCCGAGGGGAGCACCGCCATGCCCGACGACGCCACGCAGATGGCCGCCCGCCAGCCCGCCGGCGCAGACGCGCCGCTGCTGCTGCGCCGCGACGCCGAGGGTGTCGCCACCCTGACCCTGAACCGGCCGCAGGCCTACAACGCGCTGTCCGAGGAACTGCTGGCGGCCGTCACCGCGGAGCTGGGCCGCATCGCCGGCGAGGAGTCGGTGCGCGTCGTGGTGATCGAGGGGGCCGGCAAGGCCTTCTGCCCCGGCCACGACCTCAAGCAGATGCGCGGGCACCCGGAGAAGGCCTACTACCAGCGGCTGTTCACCGCCTGCAGCGAGATGATGCTGGCCATCGTGCGCCTGCCCCAGCCGGTGATCGCCAGGGTCCACGGCATCGCCACCGCCGCCGGCTGCCAGCTCGTCGCGAGCTGCGACCTGGCCGTGGCGAGCGAAGAGGCGCGCTTCGCCACCAGCGGCATCAACGCCGGGCTGTTCTGCTCCACCCCCGCCGTGGCACTGAGCCGCAATGTGCCGACCAAGCCGGCCTTCGAGATGCTGGTCACCGGCGACTTCATCCCGGCCGAGCAGGCGCGCCAGTGGGGCCTGGTCAACCGCGTGGTGCCGGCCGCCGAGCTGGACGCCGCCGTCGCGGAGCTGGCCGGCCGGATCCTGGCCAAATCGCCGGTCGCCGTGCGCCTGGGCAAGGAGATGTTCTACCGTCAGCGCGAAAAGGACCTGGCGGGCGCCTACGCCTACGCGGCGGAGGTCATGGCCTGCAACATGATGGCGGAGGATGCCGGCGAGGGGCTCGACGCCTTCATCGAAAAGCGCAAGCCCGCCTGGACGGGCCGCTGAGCGCGCCGGCCGCCCCTTGCGTCGCGCCCAGCTCGCCGCCCACTCCAGCGCCCTGCCCCGCGCATTGCCTGGGGCGGCCCGGCCGGGTTAGGCAGAGCCCATGAGCCCGCGCCCCCTCCTCGCCCCGCTGTTGGCCGCTCTGCTGCTGGTCGGCCTGGCGCCGCCTGCCGGCTTCGCACAGGCACAGGCACAGGCACAGGCCCCGCTCGCCGACCTGCAGATCGGCGTCGACCTGCTGCTGGCCGGCGATGCCGAGTCGGCCGCCGACCTGCTGCTGCCGCTGGCCGAGGCGGGCGACGCCGACGCCCGCTACCTGGTGGCCACCGACGCCCAGATCCAGAAGACCCTGGCCCTGGAGGGCTGGCGCCGCGCCCAAGGCGGCGCGGAGGCGGCCGAGCAGCAGCTCCAGGCCTGGCTCGGCGCGGCGGCCGACGCCGGCCACCCGGGCGCGCTGGAGGCCATGGTGACCCGTGGCAAGGACCTAGCCACGCGCCTGCACTATGCCGAGAAAGGCGCGGAAGCCGGGCTGCCGGCGGCGCAGGAATGGCTCGGCGCGGTCCGCTTCGGGGTCTACGAGGCCGACGCGGCCAAGCCCGAGGAGGCCGTGGCCTGGCTGGAGATCGCCGCCGGGGCCGGCCGCGCCTCGGCCGCCATCGCCCTGGGCGTGCGCTACCTGCAGGGCAAGGGCCTGCCGCAGGACGAGGCGCGGGGCGTGCGCTGGCTGCTTCGCGCCGCCGACATGGGCGACCCCGGCGCGCTGCTGCCCCTGGCCCGGGCCGCCGTCGCCCAGCCCTCGCTGGTCGGCGGCCCCGAGGAGGCCTTGCGCTGGCTGGCGACGGCCCGCGAGAACACCGGCGAGAGCCTGTCCGCCGGGGCGCGCAACCTGCGCGACGGCCTGGAGCGCGACGCGGTCGAGCGCGCGGAGGACGACGCGCGCATCTGGTGGGAGCGCAAGCGCGACGATCCCGACACCCCGCTCGGCCGGGTCGACGCCTGGCTGGCGCGCGCCTTCGAGAGCGGGCGGAGCTGGGCCAACTGGGAGGTCGCCTTCCTCGCCTCCAACGTCGACTGCGAGGCGCCCAAGCTGCAGCGGCTGGTGATCAACAACTACGAGTCCAGCGGCCACTTCGACGCCTGCATGCTGGAGGCGCTGGCCGCCTACGGCGTGCGCTGAGCCCGGCCGCCACGGCTCTGGCGTGCGTTTTGCGTGCGCCGGCCTCGTTCCGCATGGTAGAACGGGCCTGTCGAAAACGCAGAGCCAGCGGCCACGCGCCCGGCGCCGCCCCCTAACCCGCCCCTGCCCCGAAAAGCGGGCCCAGCGCGACCCGGTCGCGGCGGGCGCTGGCAGACCACTCCAGAGACGGGATTCCATGCGCGCGGAGCTTTCCGAACCAGCCGACATCGAGACCCACCGACAGTTCGTCAGCGCCCTGGCGCGCGGCCTGGAGGTGCTGCAGTGCTTCCGGCCCGACGACCGCAGCCTGAGCAACGTCGACATCGCCAAGCGCACCGGACTGCCGAAGTCGACCATCTCGCGGCTGACCTTCACCCTGACCCAGCGCGGCTTTCTCACCTACGACCGCGACAGCGGCCGCTACGCGATCGGCGCGGCGGTCCTGACGCTCGGCTACAACTGCCTCGCCAACATGGACATCCGCGCGCGGGCACGGCCGCTGATGCAGGACCTGGCGGACTTCTCGCAGGTCTCCGTCGCGCTCGGCCTGCGCGAGGGGCAGGAGATGATCTACGTCGAGCAGTGCCGCGGCGACTCCACGGTCACGGTCCGCCTGTCGGTCGGCTCGCGCATTCCGGTCGGCGCCTCGGCGCTGGGCCGCGCCTACCTGGCGGCGGCGCCGGAACGCGAGCGCGAGCGGCTGCTCGAGAACCTGCGCGAGGCCGACAAGGCGGCCTTCCCGGCGATCCTCGAGGGGCTGGCCGAGGCCGAGGCGCAGATCGCCGAGCGCGGCTTCTACGTCTCCCTGGAGGACTGGCACGAGGGGGTCAACGCCGTCGGCTGTCCGATCCTGGACCCCGACGGCAAGACCCTGCGCGCGCTCAACTGCGGCGGTCCGGCCTTCCTGCTGCCCCGCGCACACCTGGAGACCGAGGTGGGGCCGCGTCTGGAGGCGCTGGCGCGCCAGCTCTCGGTCCTGCCGCCGGCGGAGCTGGTGCGCGCGCGCCGGCGCGCCGCCGCCGGTCCCGACGCCGCGTCCCGGGCCTCCACCTCCCCGGCCCCCGCGTCTCAGCCCCCCGCGTCTCAGCCCCCCGCGTCTCAGGCCCCCGCGCCCGACTCGCCCGAGTCGTAGCGCGCGCGCAGCAGGCGGAGCAGCGCGGCGTCGCGCTCCGCCGCCAGCGCCTCCGGGTCGGCGCCGCCGGCCTCCGCCTCCACGCCGGCGACCAGCCGGTCCACCAGCTCCGGCGTCAGGCTGGGCGTGCGGAAGGTGCGCCAGCGCCGTTCGATGCCAGGGCCCAGGTGCTCGATGAAGCCGCGCAGGCCGCCGGCGCCGCCGCCCAGGTGGAAGGTCATGTGCGGCCCGCAGACCGCCCAGCGCAGGCCCAGGCCGTGGACCAGCGCCTTGTCGACGTCCTCGACGCTGGCCAGCCCGTCCTCGACCACCGCCACCGCCTCGCGCCACAGCGCCGCCTGCAGCCGGTTGCCGAGATGGCCCGGCGCCTCCTTGTTGAGCCGGATCGGCGCCTTGCCCCCGGCCTCGTAAAGCGCCAGCGTCCGCGCCACGGTCTCCGGCGCGGTGTGGGCGCCCGCCGCGACCTCGACCAGCGGGATCAGGTGGACCGGGTTGAAGGGGTGGCCGATGACGAAGCGCTCGGGCCGCGCCAGCCCCTCCTGCAGCGGCGTCAGCGCCAGGCCCGAGGTACTGGTGGCGACGATCGCCTCGGCCGGGACGCAGCGATCCAGGGCGACGAAGAGCTCCCGCTTGACCGTCTCGCGTTCCGGCGCGTTCTCCTGCACGAAGACGGCGTCGGCACAGGCCTCCGCCAAGTCGTCGTGCAGGCTCAGGCGCGCGGCCGCCTGCGCCGGCGTCGGGCCGTCCGGCCGCAGGGCGCGCAGCGTGCGCACGCCCTCCAGCACCGCGGTGCGCGCCGGCTGCAGCCGCGCCGCCTCCGGATCGTAGAGGCGCACCGGGCGCCCCTCGGCGGCGAAGTGGGCCGCCCAGCCGATGCCGATCACGCCGGCACCGATCACTGCAACAGGCTGCGTCATGCGCCGGCCTCCCCGCTTTGCCGCCGCCGCGCCAAGCCGCCCAGGGCGACGCCCAGCAACGCCAGACCGGCGGCGACGGCGATCACCGTGGCCTGGCCGATGTCCAGACCGGCGCCGCCCGGATAGGCGAGCAGCAGGCCGGCGACCGCCAGCAAGCCCCGCGCGGCGCCGCCGGCGGTCCCGCCGCCGAGCGGCCCGAAACCGCTCAGATAGCCCTGGGTGCCGGCCGCGATCAGCGCCACGCCGACCAGCGCCGCCCCGAACACCAGGGCGATCTCACCCAGCCCGCCCTGCAGGATCAGCGCGGGGTTCAGCACGAAGAAGAAGGGGATCAGGTAGATGATCGCGCCCATCCGCATGGAGGCCAGCGCCGT